ATCCACATCGAGAACACCATGGCTCGCGTACAACCGCGAGCGCTCTGGTGTCTCCATGGGCGATCAAGACCAGCGCCCGCCTTCGGTGTCGCAGCTCCAACCCGCTCTCGCCGTCGGCCAGGGCCCAAAACTGATCTTGAAACGAGTCGCGGACGGCGAGGAGTTCGGAAGAGCGAGACAACGCTAGGAAACGAAGAAACAGAGCCGACGAACGAGGCATTAGTGCTTGCACGCGGACAGCAGATCGAGAGAGATTAACGAAGAACTCACCAAACAGCCCAAAACACGTTTGATCTCACTCGAAATAAAGCTCCTTAGTACTAAAATTGCGTCGTTCGGCGGCTCTCGAGGACAAATCACGTATACTGGTCACTGGTTCAGATTAATCGCACAAGTCCCAAATTAGCTTCGTTCTCTCTCGTTTTTCGAAGACGAAGCGCACTTACTTTATTCTATCATTCCCCATTATCGTTTGCTGGCGTCTATCGATGTTGGCCTTGTGCTGGTTGTGGTCGAGTACAAGAGATGGCGGTGGCAACCGTGCAATCAAGGCAAACTCGTCGAACGTTCTTGACACCAGTAGACACGGTATAATTCACGAATTGCTTCTTAAATTTGATTACTTTGAATTTCGATTTTATATAGGATTCATTTTACGATTTACTTTCGATGCCACGTTTCGTTGGACTTCGAAATTTGACGATTTATTTATGTAAATGTGTATTTTTTTTTTTCGTTTGCTTTATTTCTTTGATCCCTTTTCGTTCGGGGTAGCATCGCGATGGAGAATGGCGTCGCCTTCCCACATTCCCCCCCCTAGTAGCTACGCGAACGGAACAAGTCACTTTCCCACTCGCCAGACCTCTGAATCGATCAATTTACACACGGACTGCCTTCAAAAAGGATTATTCACAGACCGCTTTGGCCATGTTCCCCGACTAACCTGACAAGACGACTACACCACAAAGGTGGGAGGCAATAAACGAGTATATTAGCAGAAAAAGAACACCCAGACACACAGATCACTTGGGGAAATTTGGAATCAGGCAGAGAGGGTTTGGTAGAAGCACTCCCCATCGTCTATATCAAGCCTGCCCTTCTTAGTCTCCCTATCTTCACTCTCACCCTTCTCACTCGATGCCTTCCTCTTCACCCCACCTGCGGCTACAGGTTTAGCCTTCCAACCGGGGTTGTTGATGATCCAGAAATTGGCTTCCTCAGCATAGTCGTCATAGGACCTCCCCGTATCCGTCTGAAGCTCGCAGGTGGGGTTGACGATGAGTAAAAAAGGACCCCAGTTGGGTAGTATACGTCCAATCCAGTCCCTGAAGTAAGGGATTAGTCGGCCGAGGCAGATGTTTGGAGATAAGACAGGAACTTACCTCGGCGCCCGGCCATCTTTCCAGACATGTGCAAGGGCCCTCCGAGCTGGACTCTCGCGCCTCGCTCCCATCGAATCGAGACAAGTGGTGAGGTACTGGGCATGCTTGTCAGCAAGCACAGAGGC